TTGCTAGCAAATCTAAACAGAAGGCCCTTCAAGAGCATGCCTCCATAAAATTATAGTCCACAATGAGCCTTGTTACAAGACAAGTGCACTTAGATGTAAAAGACCTATTATAATAACAAAGCTTGAAAATGAAACATCCTTGTGATAGCATTGCGACAAGCAACCTGAATCTATCATATTAGACAATGGAGCGAGGGATGTGCCATTTATGCTCATGTTGTATTTACCATCATTGTTGTTCCTAGAAGTATTAAGAAGAAGAAGAGAAGAATAGCTTAGCATACATGTTTCAAGGCTTTTTGCGTTGAAGACTAGAATTAAAAACATGAAATTGCTATAGCACCTGGCAATTTTTAAATAACTAAACAAGAAAAGTAGTTGTCAAGAAGCTAGAGAGTAGATATCATACCTTCCAGGAAATATACAAGAACCATGACTTGTACTAATGATGTTAGATTATGGTATAAACCAATGATAGCATCTTAACCAAACCCAATTATGCTACAATAAGGCCTAGTTCTTTTATAAAAGCAATAATGTACAAAGAATGGAGGAGATGAGGATGATAGAAAAGAATAAGACTTTGATGTAGCATCTTAAATTCTTAATTCGAGAAATTAATTGCTAATTAAAGATAAATTAGTAAATTAGTATATTAATTAAATAATCAAGACTTTTGTCAGTGAATTGACATTGTGGCATGTTGGATTGTTGAATGGATAAGATTGGGTAGAAGAATGGGGTTCCATAACGAAGCGTGCAAGTAGCAATGAGATCCTCCTCATTATGCCACATGCTTGGCATAAGCTGCAACACAAGATACAAAAATTTGAATTAAAGGACATGGATCAAACGAAAGGAGAGAAGGGGAAAGGGGAAAGAAGCATGAAGGAGAAGTGAGGAGATGCTCCGCTGTTGGGGCAAGGATCAATAGCCATCTAGGATATATTTTTGACCTGTCACTTACCAAGTAATTTTCATACTACCCGATGCTCCTAATCTACCATAATTTTTCTTAGGTTGGGATATAGAGAAATTGAATCAAGGAGTCTTAAGGAATTGATTTATTACCCTTTAGTAATAAAAAGACTCTTGGAAGTTAACCTAAGATTTTGCAACTAGTTTGAGAATTAATGACAAAGCTTTGAAGTTATAAGCTTGATTTAGCTTAAATAGAGAAGTTTAGAAGGGTGAAAATGTTAGCATGGGATTGTTTAAGCTAATAGAAATGGCAAAAAGTTTAAAGAGAATAGTTAGAACTGAAGCCAATTAGGTGAAAGTAGTTAGGTGGTTAATTGTGGATTCTTATAATAATTAGTACTTTTGGTCAATTTAGTCTTTGACTTATAGTGTTAAATTGCATAAATTGATGTGGCCTATATATTGATTTAACTCGAGGAAGCTATGAATTTGGAAAGTATCACGGGTAACCTTTCTAGAAACTGAAGGGTTGAGGTAACTAAATAATTTATCGTATTTATTAACTTAATTATTTATGGGTAAATATGAGAATGTGTTATATGTTTTTAATCATTGGCATGTTTGAAATTTGCATTTGTTTACATGTTTCGGCCACTAAAATTGGTTTAAAAGTAAATTATTCTATATATGTGTGTGTGGAAGTGTGTGGGTATATATGGTTATATATGTGTGTAAAAAATGGCATGATCATATTAAAGGGCAGGAGTTTACCCTGAATGTGTGATGTGTGAAAAAAAATTCATATGTTCAGGCTGACAGCATGAGGCAATCCAGTACAACAATTATTTGGGACTGTTCTATGGGACAATTTAGACAGTCTGGGAACTCTCTAGTGCTCGTAAAAGTACGGCTAGGAGCCAATAAAACCCTCATTTTGTGTGTGTGTGTGTGTGTGTGTGTGAAAGGAGAAATTCAAGGCCAAAGAAAATAAAGATCCAACACGAAACTTCAAACTTTGAAGAATACTTACTCACCATGTGAAAAGTGTGGGGTAGGATGATGGTGCATGTTTTTTAGAGCCAATTTGAAAGCTTTAAATGGAATGATTCCCATCCTCTTCAAGCCTTGAATGCAAATTTGAATTGCTTCATGCTTTGTTTAAAGTTTAAATTTTAATTCTTAATTAGTTTTCATTTTCATTTTCAACTTTAATGCTAATTCTTTTTCATTATTGTAGTTTTTATTAGTTGATTTGACTTAGGAATAAAGACTTGAGTTATTAGGAAAGTTTTTGAATTCTTCCATTTAGACTTTATTGTTGGATCTCCATGAATTAGGGAACTTCCTAATTTGATCAAGAGAAGGTGCCACATATGGATGAATCATTTAGGGTTAGCATTTCTTAAGTCTTCCATTCTCTTGCCCACAAATAGATCTCTTTATGTACTCTCTTTTAGAGTGTTATGAATGAGGATTTTCTCCTAAATTTGGTACTCTTTATGCAAGTTGTGCTTGCTTGTGGGAATCTAGAGATAAATACTAACGTAATCAAGAATCTAATCAACTATTGTGGTATCTCAAAGACTAAAGTTGTTAGAAGTAAGGGTTCTAGCTATTATTTTCCTTAATCCTTATTTTTTTTTATCATTTTGTTCATCTTTATGTTTGTTCCTTATTATATTTTCATCCCTTTATTTCTTTATTTCATTTTTATTTGTTATTCATGTTTCAGGTTCTATTCTAAACTAGCACGATCTTGCTTTACGCCCCATACTAAGAAGGGTGATGAAGAAGAAGAAGAAGAAGATAGTGACGAAGGAGATATGTTGCTTCGTTCTAGATATGCTTGAAACTCATGGCAACATAGATGAAAAGCAATAGAACTTCAAGAGAGACCGAGTAGATATGGAACAAAGAGAGGTGATGCGGAACACGTAGATTGAAAATGCTAAACTACTAAGCAAATCTAGAATGCTATAACACAAGAAGCAGATTTGGAATACCACACAGCTAAGCTGTCACCAGAAAATGTGCAAACAAAATAGAGAGGAGAAATGATGGTGGGCTATGTCGGAAAGAGAGAGATAGAGCGGAGGAGAATAATTGTTATAATTTCATTACTTTTCATTTAAAATAAATGATAATAGACATGTCATTTCTTGTTAAGACCTTTCCACCAAATTGATTGCTGCTGCACATTTTCTTTCTCAAGTTTTCAAGCCATTTTGAAAATTCATTCCCAAAAAAATTACTCATTTTTGCTTAGTGTGTTAACGAGTATCATATTTTATTTTTCTAATATAAAATTAAATATATTTTACAAAATAGTATTTTTATATAATATTTTAAGGATTAGTGTTTTTATTTAAATAACTTTTCATTGTCAAATAAAAATATTTTTTTATATTTTAATTAAATTTTATTATTTTAATCATGACTGGCTAATTTGACTCCGACTTGAATTCCAATTAAATTACTAACTCTCGAAACATTGTCTCGATTAGTTCAATAATCGGTTTGATTTTCAGTATCTTGATATTATTCCTTTATCAAAGTTTGATTTGTTTGGCAAATCAATTTTGATATGATATTTGGAGGGATCACAATTGTATGTGGAATATTGGGCACATTAGCGAGAGATTTGTTCTTGATTACATGACTAACACCATGATGCGTTTAAGGCTAATAATTGGCATGCCTAGTTAAGAGAAAAATTCCTGGCATTAATTATGCATGTTTATTCGAATGCTAGATTAGATATAATTTCTCTAATTTTTGCTCTTAGATATGTTTTGACAACATTTACTGAGTGTTCATTAGGATGTGAATACTTTATTTCATGATTATCAGTTTGAGTTTAGGTTCCTAACTGAGAAGTAAAAATTTTAAGTTTAGCAGGCATCTCCCCGCCATCAACTACTCCTCTAATACTTTATTTAAATATTTGCAAATTTGCTTAAATGTCCTATACATGAAAAGTCAACACACACACACACACGCGGGGACATTTTTTCATGCCGTTGAAGTGCTGGGGCAAAGAGAGTCCTCTCATAAAATATATATATTATTTACTTATTAATTAATTTAATTATCTAATATAAGTGTAGATGACTCTCTGAAAATTGTGAACTTGTGGATTTTGCAGTAGAAAATCTACGTGAATAATTTTCTTAAAAATTTTATAAGAGACAAAAGCAATATACGGGATGATTATATAAAATTTTTCAGAATTTTTTACAAATTAATCTACAATTTTAGAAAAATAGGGTTTCGTCCGAAAGACTTTTTGAGTTTCCAACAAACATTCTAACAAGATAAAGGATCAAAGAAAATGATAAAAACAATAAATAAATCCAAGACAATAAAAAAAAATTCAAGACTTAAATCAAGCATTACTTTTACAATAAAAATTTTCCCTTATATTTAAAATTCACATATTGTATAAAAATAGAACAAGTTAGTATCAATATATCATATAAAACAAATGATTGAAGCCAATTCCTGAAAGTGGCCTAGTGCGGCTCTTGACACATAACACCGTTCATAGAGCCATATTTAGTGTTCATAGAGCCATGTCTCAACTAAGAAGGCTGGCTTAATTTTGGGCTGCGTGTTGTTGCTCCAGAAATTCCCCCTCTCTCTTTTAAACTTCAAAATTGCCTCCATTTGAGTAATTTTGACCATGTTTAGTGTGATGGAAGAGTTTTTAATAGAATTAAAATTAGAATTGAATTAGATTTAAAAATGTGTTTGATATAATGATGGAATCCTGATATAATTTTAATAAAATATAAGTACTTAAAATAAAAAATTACTAAAGTATCCTTTTTAAAATTAAAAAAAGATATATTGGAGAAGGGAGAAGAGGCAAATTGAAGAAATGGAACCATGAAATTGAATTTCATAATGCATGTGATGGAATTAAATTTTACTAAATTTCCTTAAATTTAAATTTTAAAAAATCATAATTATTGTATATCAAACACACATTGATAAATTTCATGTTCAATTTCATTTTTTTCTTTACGATTCTAAGCTATCAAAGGGGCCTTTAATTTTAAAAAAGACTGGTTATGGTCTCCAGCTCCGTTCATGTCTACTCATCTAACCTCTCCTACTCTACTGTCATCTTTACTTTATTCATTCCATATCTTGACCTAAGAGCGGTTTCATCTCTAGAGAAATCCCGAGAAATGCTGAGATTTGCTGCAATCTAATCCCATAGATGATGCGACGCTTGGAGTTGGGTTTATTCTTTCTCTCAACTTCGTCAACCTATTCTTCAACAAATGGTTCACCGTCACTGATGGATGGTTGGCCGAGGTTTGAGAGTCTCAGTAGAGCACCGCTATTATTCGTTCTTTTTGACACATGCATGTGCCTCTTCATTGATGGATGGATTGCCATCATTGTCATGGTGTTCCGCTGCATTACCGACACCTTGCTCCTCTAGAGCATGGGTAGCTCTTCACTATCTCAAGGTCAAGATTGGCTTCTTCTTCGACTTCAAGGGCTTCCTCCCTCTACCTCAGGTCACTATTTCTCGCCTAAATGCAGAGCAAACCTCTGCATCTAGATTCTTTTAATTTTATTGAGCACAGAGCTAAAAACATATCTAAAAGAAAATCATATAAAGGGGATAGCCATGAGCCTCTGAAACTTCTAATCTTGTGCCACACAACTTCTTATTTCTTTGTTAAATCTCACATGATGATGCTTCTGTCCTTCCTTCTCTAGCTTCCTTATTTTCCTCTTCTTTCTCTTCAAGACACAGAGCAACGAAGCAGAAGAAGCAGAGACAAGAGAGATTATCATCCTCTGTAAGGCCATTTCAATTTTATTATTTTCCAAACTTATATTCACAGAGTCATGTTTGGGTTTGATTCTGTGTTTGTGTATTCCTTTGTTTAATTTCACCATGTTTTGACCTTTTGGGAGTCGAATTAGGTGGTGGATAGTCTCTTCCTATGCTTTCACAAATTTGTGGGATTGTCAATAGCTGATGGTTACATTGCTACCAGTTTAAAGATAAAAGAGGCACTTTGTATACCTTTCGGAGTCACGTACATAATGTGTTTATTTAATAATAGCTGAAATGTCAGAAGTTGTCACCCGTGTTGATAAACTCGACAGCTTAATTTGCTTTACCTCAAACAGGTGCATGTTGGTTCTGAGTTTTATTAGCAGTCCCTAAAGATAAGGAGGCAAGTCCAGTCAAGCCTGTAAAATTTTACTTCCATTATGAAAAAGGAGCAACACTTTGGGAAATAGTGGTTAAGATATACACCACCATGGCATATCCCCACTTGGTTGAGGTAAATTCACAAATACTCTTTACTAATACATTCTTTTGGTTTTTAGATAACAATGCTATTAAAGCAAACATATTTAATTTACTTCTTAAATTAGTTGCCAAATTTCACCAATCTGGTCTTATTATTGTAGATGAAGTACAAGTCAGCTCATCCTTCAATGCAACCAAAGTAATCCTAAATCCAGACATTAAAGAGGTCTAGGATTTGGTGGAGAGGTTTGCCTAAGTCATCCCTTCTGGTAGTTATGAAAATAACCCAATTATCACACTAACTATCCTCAACTATTATTTGTACTTCCTATGGTAGTGCCGCACTAAGCTCATCTCCAATTAATTCATGTATACAAACTGATTTCTTTAATTATAAGGTTGAAACTGACTTATTTGTATTGTTTTCAGCGGCATACTTGTATACTGATTTCAAACAAAACATGGACTTTATTTTCATGTTATTTTTATTTGCTTGGGGCACCAAGGAGTGATTAATGTGTGATGCTTTCATTTTCTTTGATTTTTATAGGATTATGCAAATGGGATTCAGATTCATTTATGATGACACTCATGGGTTGTTACAATTAAAACTTCTATGAATTATCCATGGCCTTCTTTGTTGTGGGTCATGAAAAAATGATGATAATAATATTGTCATATGTTTCTTTTTTTGTTTTTTAGTAGTAAATCAATTGCTCAAAGTCATGCTTACAGTCTACATGATTTTCTTGGATAAATAAATTGGATAAGACACATTCTGATATGGAGTAATGTGCTACACCCTATTTTTGAGTCTACTCAGCAATTTTATTTCCTGCTTTGTTTTTTCACTTTTTCCTTTTTGTGAGTTATACTCTCAAAAAAAATTTTGTAAGTCAATTGACTCAATTTTTTGAATTTCTATCCTAGTTAGCACAGATTGGTGATTCAAATCACGTTTCTTTTCTTTTTTTTTTTTTTGTTCAATTTTGCCTAAGGTATGTTGTTGATTCCAGATTACTAAAAGAGGCGTAGGCCGATGTCCTTTTACATGTACTCCTATTTGTTAAAGGTGATGGAGTCATGGAGCTGCAGCTGAATGTTATAGCCTTTTCAAATTTCACTGCTTTGTAAGTAAAAGGGTTGGGTGCGGTTTAAAGTTTCAGCTTTTGGCTGCATCTTTACTGAGTCAAAATGGATTTCTCATAGGAAAGAATGCCATGTGAGAAGTAGTTAAAAGGAAACATTGGAAATTGCAGGCATGTTACATCTTAGTAACATGCGTGTTGACAAAAATATCATTTGATTTTTTTGTATCCTAAATAACCATCTTTTATCTCCCATTTTCTGTATCGTCTCTTGGCCTAGGTCTGATACTTGCTTACTTTCTTTCTTTTTTTTTTTTCCAGGAGTGTCATCCCTTACTTGCTATGCTTTAGCTACAAGGGTATTTTGGAACCCCACTTTCTATGAAATCCTTCCTACGAGAAGGGCCCTTCTTAATCTTTCTAGGAGGTCTTAGTTATTTAGGAGTCTGCGACTATAGATTAGTTTCTTTTTTTATTTGTGGCCTGTACTTAATGACTCGTTTAGGATTGTTTTTTGTTTTTTTTTGTTTTTTGCTGGGGCCGTTTTGTAGTGTCCATTTCAAGCTCCCCATTTTCTGGGGCAGTTTATGTTTTGAACAATCTTTGTAACAGGTGCTGATGCACCTTAACACATTTCTCCTATGGTATTGATATAAGCAATGGTTTCATTAGTCATATCTTTTTAAATGGTTGGAAAAATTACACATTTTTCTTTATTCTGATATCTACACACTGTTACAACTATGAATCCACTTTGTAAGCATAACAATCTGTCAGCCTTATATTAATAACTCTATAATGAAGTTTAACATTGATTGCACTTTGTTAATTCTCCATATATGTGTTCTGTTTTTCGTTTTTGCTGAATGTATTATTTTGTTATTTTTACTTCACTTATACATATAAGGAGCTTTAGGTTTTTTGTAATTCTTTATCTCGAATCCTATTGTGGTATACTATATATACCTGTCTATAATTTATTGTTCTCATGCACTCTAAGTTATGTTCAAGTTGAAGCTGCTAAGTCTACTTTTCTTATAGCACCAAGTGCAGTGGTAGGTATGATGTATAGTATTTTCTTTTTGTTCATCAATGAAAGTTAGGCAATCCAACCTTTTATTTGTCAATTATGTTATATATGCAGATCTCTGATTCTGTATCACGTTTAAGATATATACCTCATGATTCAATTATTTTGTCCTGAATAAGGCATTCCAATCGTGTGGTTTTATCTATGTCATGATGCTTTCCAACTTTTGTCTACTGTTAGAACAATGTTTAAAAGTGATTTTATTAACCAATGGATAACTTCTGGTGCATGTATCAAGAATTTTTGAGTAAATAAATAGTGGTAACCTTTTGTTGATACTTGATAGGGCTATGTCTACTGTCTGATGCAAAACTGTGGTTTAACTCTCTTTTTTGGTTTTGTTTGGTATCTTAATGTCAGTGCATTTTTATTTGTTTGTTGGTTGACCATCGGTTCATCATTTTGCTTTCAGTCATTGTCCCTTTTTTATTGATTCATGCTGGACATATCTCCTTTTCTTTTGCTACCTTTTTGTTAACAGTGTTGCTTTCGGCTTTCTGCCATCACCAGTACTCTTTAACCAAAAAATTTTCTGTCCTCTCTACTGTGACCATGCTGTCACAGTCCATGGTTTGTTTTTATAGATGTTATCATTTTTTTCAACTATCATGTCTCACTGCATAAACCACGGATCTGTGATTTTTATGTGTAAAATTTGCTACAAATAGTGCTGACATATTCAAGATATTGTCGTATAGACTTGTGTGTGTTTATTTTGTGAATAGGCGTGTTGTAGTTTATTGGGGCTACCCTGTTTTAATCCTAAAATTTATGTCTTGCTTATGTGTTTGTGTGCATTTGTTGTGGAAGTTTTCATTATGTTTTAGCCATGTTTATATTTTAAAGATCGAAAAATGATGTCATGTTTATGTTCTTTGGATGACAGCTGATTTTTTTCCATGTAAAGAAAGATCATCATGATATGTTTTAGGTATTTAAGGTTGGCAGAAGTTCCATCAAGTCATCATACTGAGTTATATCCCTTAGTTTGCTTCTTGAGAAATATATCATGGCTTCATGCTAGAAGATTTTGCATGATGATATTGGTATTGAGGCTCACCTCCTATTTTTTTTTTTTTTTGTTAGTATGTCTGAGTTTTGATATTTGTTTAGCTTCTCAAGACAATCTTCACTGTCTACTAGCCATATCTATTTTGCTTACTGCTTAAAACTATAAACTTATGGTGGATCATCCTACATTTAGGCTATCATGCTAGAAGATTTTGCATGATGGTGTCGGTATTGAAGCTTTTCTCATTTTTCATTTTTTTTTAATGTCTGAGTTATGAGATTTAGAGAGCTTCTCAAGAAATATTTACTAGCTTTTAGCCTTTTTTTTTTTTTTGAAACAAATGTTTTTTGGAGGATAGCTTCTGATATTGTGTGTAAGAGGAGTCATAGTATCATCATGATATGCTTTAGGTATTGAAGGTAAGCTGATTTCCAATGAAGTGATCTTACTGCATTGTATTTCTTAGTTTGCCTCTCGAGAAATATATCATGCTATTATTGCTTGAAGACTTTGCAGTATCGTTTTGATATTGTAACTGACTCTACCCTGTGCTCTTTATTTCCGGGATTATTAGGACTCATGTTCACATTGTCAGACTAATAAGTGAGTAACTCCTTTGATAGTTTTATTATGCAGGTTTCATTATATAGAGCCCTTCATAGAGACAAATCAGACTTGACTTCCAATCTTTTTTTTTTTTTTGTCTTGTGTTTACAATATATGTATAGTATTATCTAATTAGTGTCTGTATAATGCTGAATTTTTGTGCCACTATTCAAGTGTATATTGAATCATTGATTTTTGCATTGGAAATGAAATGGTATTAAATGAGTTAATCACAGTATTATTCACTCCAAGATTCAGTTAGGCGAACTGGAAAGTTTTTGGATAGGTACCTGCCACTTTGTCAAATCAGGATGCCTTCATTTTGTGTTCTTCGACAATATCTCTCTCTCGAGTAGAGTACTGATTTGACATCCTAGACCATATTGTTTTTTGGTCACTAGCCTACATCAGTTATGTGTGATGAAATCATGGTATTAGTAATATCCCTTATTTTCATATGTCAATACAAGACGTTAGTTCATTTGCCTTCGATTTCTATTTCATAATATAGTAATCTATCTTTTAAACTTTTTAAGCTTCTGCAGTTCTAGTTTTTACTACAGATATTCTAATTCTTTGCAATTTTTGTATACTTTCAATACTCCCACTCAATGGTTCATCTTAAAATCTACATTCAATGCTTCCTGTTAAACGGAAGTCATACAAATCACTAACACAAAGTAAGGAAAATGATGATCCTTAGGGTTCTGATGAGATGATTCATGTTTTAAACCTTCAGATGAACCATTGCAAAGTTTCCACTTAGAGATATTAGTTCTGAAAATCAAAATGTTGTTTCAGGTATGTGTATTGGTTTTTTTTCTATTTTGACTTGTATGCTTTTACTGAACAAGTTATTTACATCAAGAGTGCGCACAGTTGAATAAAAATTTTGATCAGTATTGGTTTTTTATTTATTTTATTTTGATTCAACCATGTGATTGCTCAGTTTCCCTGTAAGGATGATATTAAATTCCTAAAGGGCATTTGCTATGGGAAACTTTCCAGCACCGGTTGCCTAAGGAATTACTTGATAAGATTGTTGGGATATCAATTAATATGACTGAACCAATTATGCTAACTTGTACTTGGAATCTTTCTGCTAATGGAAAATTTGCTGTCAAGTCCTATTACATTGGTTTGTAAGAGGTAGCTTGGAATGACACACGTCATATGGTCTAAAATATGGAAGTTACTTGTGGCACAAAAGGTCATAACATTCATTTGGCTTATGGTTGAAGGACGCCTAATGACTAATGCTAAGCGAGCTTGAAGGAAAATGACACTTGATCAACAGTGCTCACTTTGTCTTGCTTCAGTTCAAAACATAAATCACACACTTACAGAATGCCTATTAGCAGCGAATGTTTCGAGGAAAATACTCCCTACTAATATGTGTACTAATGTTTATAGGAATGATATCATTACTTGGCTTACTCTGTTATGCTTACAAAAGCCTCATCTTGACACCTCATGGAAGATTGGGATAAGCATAACTTGCTGGAAGTTATAGGAAGTGAGGAACTGATGCATTTTCAATGATGAATCCTTTGCTGATGCCATCTTATCTCAAGTTATAGCTATTGCTGATCATACATTTAGTTAATTTTCTAGCTTTGATGTACTTATAACTATTGTTAAGTGGCAAAACATTACTCATTACTCAATAAACACTTTTCTTGAGAGACTTTCAAATGCAGAAACTAGAGGCTAAGCCTCCATATGATTGGACCAACATGAAGGCTCATGTTGGATATTATGTTGTATTCATCCACGGCCGAAATACTTTTATGTTTTTTTATTTTCATGGAAGCTATACATGTATTGTTAATGACTAGATTTGTGCAATGTTTGCAAATGTCTAGAAAAGAAGTTTTTTTTTTTCTTTGTAGGGATGGGGGTTTGTAAATTTTTATAATATTGGTTTATAAATTACTAGTCGAATATAATGTAAGTGAATGATCCCTGTACATCACAATAATTATTAAATTAATTAATTGATCAGCTCAAAAATTTAGTGATATGAATTTTATGCAAATCATTATTTGCAATTAAATATTAAATTTTTAAAGAATTAAGTCATGTACAACTCGACCAAATATTAAATATTATAACAAACAAGTATTGATCCTAATAAAAAGTATTATGACAGTATTACATTAACAGTTTGTGTAGGAGTAAATGACATCCCTCTTGATTGACTATAATAAAGGTATACTCCTTTCATTTAAAAGTGTAAGTTATTTTTAATTGAATCACACCCCAATAAAATTATTACCTACTTTCAAACTAATCCTATCTTTTCATATTTACTCTTATTAAACACTCTATAATAAATATAAAGTCATTATCAATAAAAGTATTTTTAGGAAAAAAAAAAAGCAATGATTGTAGCTCAAAAGATTAAAAATACTTTATATTTTGAACATTTAACTCCTTAAAAAATGTCATATATTTTTTAAAAGAGGGAGTATGTCTTTCAATTTTAAAAGAAGTTAATGAATATCTTAAACTCTAAATTATTACTTAATAGCATTTTGAACTTTAAACTTTTAATATGAGTAAAAACTCATTTTAGTTTGTATCGTATATATTTTAGAGTGATTTTATTCATTAAAGCTCGTAAGTGACCATTGGATGGGGAGTTAAATATTAAATATCTTAAATAATACAAAAATGACCTTTATATATATATAAGCGAACTCTTTCAATGTGCAAGTACTCTTTTCATTTTTATTGCCATTTGAAGCTCTAGACATCAATAATCTTGAGTCCCTAATTATCCCATTATAGTTGAGTTGTGTTCTTCTCATGATTATGTTTTATATCCATGTTATGTTTTTTGTTGGATTCTTTTAACTTCATGTCACAAATTTTTCAGTATTATGTTGAATCCAAACTTCTTGATTTTAATGTGTTTAATTTTAAGACGTAGATTTTTTCCTACTTTTAATTTTGGTGATTTCCCAAATTTACAAAACTTTTACAGGGATATTGTTGCGTTGATGGTAATCATGTTTCAAGAACTAGCAAGGTTTTTACAGAGTCTTTCAAAATCTACATACATTAATCGTGATAATGATTAAGTATTCTTAGATCTGGTTTGCTTATTAGAAAAAAATGTAATGGAATTAATTAAAAAAATAAAGATAAAAATAACATGATCAAGAGGATTGGTGAGCACATTTATAAGGGAGAGGTAAATGAATTCATGGGGTTGAGAATCATGATTTATAAAATTTTTAGAAAGTTTTATCATACTTAAGAAAAATGATGATTTAGTTTATTTTTATTTTGATTTTTTTAATCTATTCTATTTCATTTCATTTTAACAACCAAACGGGACCTTACATGCAATGTTGTAAATAGTAGCTATTATGATTGTTTTGGTAAGCTGAAAAATTTACTGAACATTTCTTCCCATGTGATGGATATTTTTTCATTTCTGTGACCTTTTTTCTAGGTCAGTTTAGATAATGCATGGTTTGCATTGAATGAATGTTCTTTTCAGCTGGAGAAATTTGGCAATTGTACTTATTGATCATATTATTAATGTTTTATGTTTTTGTAATAAAGATGATGGTTTATTTGATGGTGTATTAATCAATGCTTCCCGTGCTGCACGGGAGAGTTAATGCTAGTTGAGATATAAAATAACAATATTCAAATGCTAGTGGATGAAAAGAAAGAACAAGTCAATATTATTATTTTAAATAATGGTTATTTATAATTCAATATTGAAACTGTTTAAGAGAGGGTGCGAATTAAAGGAAAAGTGGGAGTATGAAATGAGGATTAATAACCACAAATACATAAGTTTCAAAAATATGAGGGGATGCATTTGCCCCTCTCAATTATACCTACCTCTGCCGGCGTGTGTGCGTGCGTGTGTGTGTTTTTTTAAACTTTGGAAGGATATAGTTTAGAGAATGTATGAATGAAACTTTGAAGGGGAAAACTCTTCATGTCCACGTGAACCCACCCCATAAAATGAGAATCCTTTGGAACCCAGTCAGTGAATTAAAGAAACTTGATTGTATACTCCTTAGTCTCGTACATACACGTAACTCATTTTTTTTACTTCATTAAAATTAAGAGAATTGTTGTGACTAATATATTATGCTTTATTGTATTTTTAATGAGTGCATTTTTCATTTTTTGATGATTTATGGTATTCATGATTTTACATCACTTGGTACTGCACTTGGAGAACATGTAGAGTAATTTTATTTGCATTATGGTGTCATTGAGTCTAAAGTAATTTTATAATTTCAGAATTATAGGGATATCAGATGCAAGACTTTAAGGATGCCCGATGTAAGTCTTTCAATATGGAAGAATTAAAGGCGTGGTCACAATATTTTATGAGATGTTTACAAGGCATTAGAAGTGGTTAGAATATAGTGTTAGTTATAAGAGTTTTGGTATGTTCTTGAAACAATTTGGTTCATGTATAGTTTGAGTTTGTCTCTGTAAAATTAAATGACTAGTTATGTTAAATTTTTATCACAGTAATAATGCTTTTTAATTGAACTTGCGGAGTGCTCAATGATGCATTAAATTTTGTGTATGAATTCAATGAGTAAGTCTTGTCTTTTATATGCTAGATTGGTTATGTACAAATCAAATGTATACACGCAAGGCAAGAAGAAAAAAACCATAATTTTTTTTACCTACAAGAGCGTTTATGAAAAGTTCCCACATGAGTCACCTATGGGAGTGTTCCTATAGCTCCCATATATAAAAGAATGCTTGCTTTTGAAGCATAGTGCTCTGTAAACATTTTTGTTATAGTAGTAGGAAGTAGCATAGTTGGGAAGAATTTGCTTTACTTTAGCTTCCAATTTCTTGTTGAACCAATGATTTTGTAATTTATAAAATTTATTATTAAATGATATGTTTTGATGATTACAAAACCAAAAGAAAGAGGTTTATTATTTGTGCAAATCAAGTCTCATATTGACCAACTGACAAAACATCTAAAAGAATGAAAAACAAAAGAAGACTTAGAGACTTTATAAGTTTAATCTTTTGTTTCTTCTCTTACAATATATTGTGAAAGCTAATGAGAGCAAAATCATTAATTGAATGGTAAGAATGCATTAATTAAATTGTGTCTTGGGCTCATAAAGTCTTCCAATGTCAAATACTTAGAATGCATCTTTGCTAAAATGTCTAATCCAAGCTTGTTTTGGCTTGAACACACGAGTAAATCAATCTTTTTTATGCATTATAGAATTTGGTGGATCTAATTCAAGCAAGAGTTCAATTCAAGCTTGAATTAAGAATGAAATCCACTTGAATTAGACTCCTAAAGCATTGTCCAACACTATAGATCAATTTACATGTGTCTTGGACTAAACTCATTTGTGTTTGAGCCACCAATGTAAGCTAGTGTCTTGAGCTTGGCCAAGTCACGCTTGACTCTTGATTGAGATCACACTTGAATAAATCATTGCAGTTAGACTTCCTTCTATGAACTAATTCTTGCATGAGTTAATATGTTATCAACACTTGGAATTATTTTTAGTGTTAGCTTAAAGTGCTTCTTAGACTAATCCACACATGACACCCTAGTGATAAATGTATGAATGGGTTCACACAGTTAATTTTCTCAACCCTAAATAAGCTATTTTAAGTTTGATTCAGAAGTGATTCAAGCCTGTTCTAACTTATAAAGAGTACATTTTCAATCTACACTTAATTTAGTGTCTACCCATGTGTACTTAAAACTTACAATGGAAGCAAAGAGCTTCTAAACTTTAAAACACACTTGAACTATGATAGTGTCATGTTTCAGCTAGACTGAGAATAACTACAAGCAACATAACCCTATTGCATACTTTTTTTAATCATTATTTTGGAGTGGGACAATTTAAAGTTTAAACTTTAAATCCATACACTTACCTTCACAAGAAAGAGAGGGAACACACATTTCACAATCCATCAAAAGCTTATCCTCATTAAGAGTATGGGAATAGGTAGGCCCCCAAAATTCACAATAAATATTTATTTATCTACTTTATTATGCACATATATTTTAATAATTATGTTCGATATAAGGTTGGGCAATAAATAAATATTTGAATCTTAATTTGTTATGTTATGAGGGCCTAGCTTCTTAAGTTAAACTTGATAAAATATTCATGGTTAAAATGCATAAAACCTTCCTAAACTTTGAGATAGTTACATATAATCCCACTCACATTTAAAAGTTTTAAATTAACCCCCTAACCTTTAATTTTTTTTTTCAAAACCTTATATTGTTAATTATGTTATTTTTTCATGAGGGTCAAAATGTCATTCAATTAAAAAATATTATTAAACAAAAATATTATATTGTATAACTATTTATAATAAATTTTTATAATTTTAGATAGTTGAGGTATTGATAATAGCCAAAAAAAATTTATTATCACCACATAAAATTTTAAATATTTACTTTTGTGTTTTTTTTATTAGTAGTGCATAGTTTTCTAATATTAAAAAACAAATTAATCTAACATGATAATATTTAAAATTTTAAATATTTTAATCATGTGCATTATATTAATCTAATATGAAAATATAAATAAAAATTTATCTTTTAAAACAATAAAATCATGCACCATTGATAACCAAAAAAAATGGATAAAACTAATATAAATATAAATATTTAAAATTTTATATGGTGATAATAATTTTTTTTGTTATCAATGTCTCAATTATTTAAAAAATATAAAAAATTTATTATTAATAATTATATAATATAATATTTTTGTTTAATAATATTTTTTAGTTGAATAACATTTTAATTCTCATGAAAAAATAACATAATTAATAATAGGGGGTTTTGTAAAATAAAATTAAAGGTTAAGTGGGTTAATTTTA